TATAAAATAAATAATTTTATCATTTACTGTTGCATTTTTATTATTGTTTAAAATGTTAAATAAAAGAATGATTCTCAATTACCAAATACAACATACCTCAAGCCTTTAAAAAATGAAAATATAAAAAGCTAACGTGTTAACAATAAATAAACTGAGGACAAGTATTATGTGCCCTGCATTTTTTTTTGACCGACCCAGTGACTATTGGAGGGATCTTTATACTGTGTTTACTCAATAAATCCTAGCAAACAACTGAAAGTAGATAAAAGAGAAATTCAACTACTTTTTTGGTAAATGCGTTAACAAAATAGATTTGACAACAGCAAACATTTTAGACAGTCCCTCACATATCTAGGTACAGTGTAATATACCTAATAGGTGCTAATGTTCAAGGATTAGTGAACGGAATACAGGCATAACTCATTTTATTGAGCTTCACTTTATTGAACTTTGCAGATATTGCATTTTTTTACTAATTAAGAGTTTGTAGCAACCCCGTGTTATGCAAGTCTATTGGCACCATTTTTCCAGCAGGACACACTTGTTGTCTCTGTATCTTGTTTTGGTAATTCTTGCAATATTTCAACCTTTTTCATTTTATTATACCCGTTATGGTGATATGTGATCAGTGATCTTTGATGTTCCAGTTGTAATTGTTTTGGAGTACCTTGAACCATGCCTATATAAAATGGTGAATTTAATCAATAAATGTTATGTGTATTCTGACTGCTATTCACCAGTATCTGTTGCGCGCTCTCTCTCTCTCTCTTTCTCTCTCCCCCCACCCCGACTCCCCTCTTGGGTCTCCCTATTCCCTGAGATACAATAATGTTGTAATTAGGCCAATTAATATCCCTAAAATGGCATCTAAGTGTTCAAGTGAAAGGAAGAGTTGTACATCACTAACTTTAAATCAAAAACTAGAAATCATTGTGGGAGGGGGGAGGAGGAGATGAGTACATTCTCACCTAATGGATGTGGTATGCACTGTCTGGGGGATGGACATGCTTTTAGCTCTGATTTGGGCAGAGCAAAGGCAATTTATGTAACCTAAACATTTGTACCCCTGTAATATACTGCAATAATAATAATAAAAAAGAAATCATTAAGCTTAGCGAGGAAGGCATGTTGAAAGCTAAGATGGGCAAAAGCCAGGCCACCTGTGCCAAACAGCCAAGTTGTGAATGCAAAGGAAAAATTCTTGAAATTAAGAGTGCTACTCTAGGGAACCCAAGAATGATAAGAAAGTTTTATTGCTGACATGGAGAAAGTTTAAGTGGTCTGAATAGAAAATGACACCAGACTGAACATTTACTTAAGTCTAAGCCTAATCCAGAGCAAGGCTCCAACTTTCATTAATTCTATAAAGGCTGAGAGAGGGGAGGAAGCTGCAGAAGAAAAGCTGGAAGCTAGCAGATGTTTGTTCCTGAAGTTTAAGGAAAGAAGCTGTCTCCATAACATAAAAGTGCAAGGTGAAGTAGCTAGTGCTGATGTAGAAGCTGCAGTAAGTTGTCCAGAAGATCTAGCTAAGATCATTGATGAAGATGGCTACACTAAATAACAGATTTACAATGTAAACAAAAGAGCCCTCTATGGGAACAAGATGCCATCTAAAACGTTCACAAAAAGTCAATGCCTGGCTTCAAGGTTTCAGATGATAGACTGACTCTCTTGTTAGGGGCTAATACAGCTGGTGACTTAAAGTTGAAGCCAATACTCAGTTAGTGTTCCAAAAATGCCAGGGTCCTTAGAAATTATGTTAAATCTATTCTACCCTGTGCTCTATGAATAGAACAACCAAGCCTGATGGCAGCACATCCGTTGACAGCATGGTTTGGTAAATATTTTAAGTCCACTGTTGAGACCTACAGCTCAGGAATAAAAGATTATTTTGAAAATATTGCTACTCATTGACAATGCATCTAGTTACCCAAAGCTCTGAGATAAATGTACAAGATGATTAATGTTTTCATGCTTGCTAACATAACATCCATTCTGCAGCCCATAGGATCAAGGAATAATTTCAACTTTCAAGGCTTATTATTTAAGAAATACATTTCATAAGGGTATAGCTGCCATAGGTAGTGATTCTTCTGATGGATCTGTGCAAAGTAAATTGAAAATCTCCTGGAAAGGATTCATCATTCTAGCTGCCACTATGAACATTCGTGATTCATGTGAGGAGATCAAAATACTAATATTAACAGGGGTTTGGAAGAGGTTGATTCCAATCTTTGTGGATTACTTGAGGAGTTCAAAACCT